CAAAAGAAAAGAAAAGAAAGAAACTCAAAGCAATTCGTCGTCATCATTAAAATGAGCTGCAAGCGTAGCAAACTAAAGCGAATCCTTGCCGAGCAGGAGACAGAATGAGAAAGAGAGAGACAGACACACACACAGAGAGAGAGAGAGAGAGAGAGAGAGAGAGAGAGAGAGAGAGTGGAGCAAACCAAAGGGCAAATAACTTGGCTGACTGTCAAAACGAAAAGAATCTATAAAAAATTTTATGAAATCGTTAAAACTAAGTAAACGCGTTGCCTCGTAAAAGACAAACAGATATTGTTGCTGCTTTGCCTGTCCGCCTCCTGCTGCTGCTCCTGCTACTGCTGCTGCTCCTGTTCGACAAGTGATGAACAAGTTATCAAGCACAAGAAAACGTTTTCATACATGCCAATATCTATTTGGATATACTTATAGTATATAAATCGCTTTCCTCAAGGTTTCCTATTAAATTCCTTTGTTGAGTTGTTCAATTTGGCATTTGTCTTTGTACATTTATATTTTATTTTATTTAATTTTTGATAGGGTTGATTTTGCTCACTCCATAAAATGATGTAAACTAATGCTTGGCTTAAGCAATATATAGAAAATATTCTACATTTATAAGCAAATGTGGGAATTGCTAAAGAAACTATCTTATTTATATCTAAGAAGATTGAGCTGAAATATTTGTGGAATTGAAACAGCTCAGTGAAGGTAATTTGATGTCACTCAAGCCCAATTACGCAAACCTGAGAGGCTTTAATATAATATTTATATATAATATACTATTCAAATATATCCTAAAAGCAGAGAAATGAAGCTTAGTGTAAAAAGAATATTATATAAGAGTGGGCAGCAGACATTTTTAGAGTTCATTTAATTTTGTCTAATTCAATTACGCTCCGCATGGAATGAGACGTAATTCCATGTTGTCTCTTCTCAAATGCCGATTGAGCATCGTGTCTCTCGCATTGCCTTTACGAGTTCGGCTCCTTCAACAAGGATCATTGCGCTTCACTGGGCTGAAGCGACGCTCTCAGTATCAAACGTCTCCACAGTGGAAGACTATCCCATGCAGCTGCCTCTGATTCGCCAAAGCTCTCTCCCTCTTTTTCAATATTCTCCCACAGCTCAATAGAGCAAAGAAATATTCTCTCTATATAGACATACTTTAATGAAATTTCCTCTTCTCTATATTAAATTATCATACACGGTACTCAGAAGACCCTCTGAAAACTTGTACAGCACTATATTATTCGGGTCATTCGCGCTGCTTGCCTCGCATTGTTATTCAGTTAGCCGAAACTTGAACCACTTTAGCAGTTGGCTATCCACTTAGCCAGCTATAGTTTCTTACCGCCTTTCAGGTAATACGATTTTGAAGCGAAAATCCACTTGGGCAGTTGCGGGGCGCTTATCACGCCAAAATGCTGTACAATTTACGGCCGTGGATATACATTTGTTGTTGTTGTTGTTGCTGTTGTTGTGGTAGCAGCGCACTGGGCGTATGTGTAATATTTTGCAAGAGGAAATGCGAAGGATAAAGTTTGTGGCGCGTGCTCGTCACAATGTTGCAAAAGTAAAACTATTGCAGACGTTGTTGTTGTTGTTGCTGCTGCTGCAGTTGCTGCTGCTGCTGCTGCTGCTGCTGCTGCTGCTGCTGGCGTGTGTGGATGCTTTGTTTTATTGCGCATTTAACAGTGCTGCAATTGTTGGCCAGACAATTACCAACTAATTGCAGCAGCAGCAGCAGCAGCAGCTACCAAATCTGCAGTTAAGTTGGCAGCTGCTACCAAACTCACCTCTATCAACAGCGAGCAAACAACTACGAGCACACACACACGCACACAGATAAAAATAAATGCAAAAACTTTTTGTGCAAACAAAACGAAATGAAAATATTTTCAAATAAATGAAAAAAATGTGCACGAAATGCACTTAACTCATTTGCAAGCCGCACAGAAATGCGCTTAAATAAATTAAAATGCGGTAGCCCTGACACTTAAATGCGAAAGGGAGAGGGAGAGGGAGAGGCAAGGAGAAAGGCAACATGAGAAGAGGCGAAAGAAACAACAGCAAACACACACAAAAACAAACATGACAGACAAAGGACAAAGTGTCCTGGCATCCTTGCGCTTTCGGCTGAATGCCCGTGAAAGGCTGTGAAGGCGCGAGGAGCCAAGGCGGAAGACGGAAGGCGAAAGGCGAACGGAGCAGGGCAGAGGGCACAGAGTGCAGGACGCAGGACGCAGGACGCTTGGCGCAACTGTCAAGATAGTCAGCTGCATGGGGCTTCGAAGGTGGCAGCTGCAGGTGTTGCACTAAGTAGTTGCCGACAAGACGAAGACACCCCAGCTGCCCCAACCAGCCGGCTTGAGCCCTGTGCAGCGAGACAAGCACTTAAGATGTCGCAGTTCCCATTAAAAATGATGTATAGAGTATCAAACAACGAATAATGAAATGATAATTAAAAGCATGGGCGGGGGCGCTTCTACAGCTGGACAAGTGGGCGTCTGTGCTGGGTCCTGCAAGGACCTTCATTTGTTAGCCATAAAGTGCACAAATTGGAGCGACCACAAAATGCAGACGCAGAATTCAATTACGTGGTGAATGCGAGGGGCGGCACGTGAGCGGGGGGCGCGGCAACTAATGAAGAAATTATGAAGTACAGTGAAGCGCAGCAGCAATGCCAAACAAAGCTCAAGCCAAGAAAGAAAAAACTGTTGACAAGGACACACACAGAGACAGGCAAACAAACAAACAACAACAACAACAACTGGCAGCGCCAGTAAATGGACTCAGCCGGAAATTGAGAAGCAGCTGTGTAGCCGAGTGTTGTTGCAAATGGCAATGGCGATTGGCAGATTGAGCATCGCTGGCATCGGCAGCCCATCTGGCCCGAGGAGAAGGAAACAATAAAATGCAGCCAACGGCAATGCGGGACTCAAAGGACGAAAAGGCGCGTCTGCTGAAGCAAAAACGAGCTGCAATCTCCGAATATTTCATTCCAGCTCATCGTTATTCTGCTCTCTGTTTTCATTTCTTCTTTGCTTTGTGTCTATCTGTGTGCCATTAAAATCGGAGAACCTAATAGAGGCAGACACTTTCATATCCAGTTCATTTTTAGGGTATATATTCCAATTTATAATAAATAGTAAAAAAAGAAAAAATTAAAAATAAATAATAAATAATAAATAATAAATAATAAATAACAAATAATAAATAATGAATAATAAATAATAAATAATAAATAATAAATAATAAATAA